CGGGGCGGGGGCGCCGGGGCCAGCGGAGGAGGACGGGGAGGACGAGGACGAGGACGAGGAGGACGAGGAGGCAGCGGGCTCTCGGGGCCCCGGGAGGACGCGGGAAGCCCCAGTGCCCGTCGTGGTGAGCAGCGCCGACGCGGACACGGCCCGCCCGCTGCGGGGGCTGCTCAAGTCTCCACGCGCGGCCGACGAACCCGAGGACAGCGAACTGGAGAGGAAGCGCAAGATGGTCTCCTTCCACGGGGACGTGACCGTCTACCTCTTCGACCAGGTGAGCGGGGCCTCGGGGCAGACCGCAGCAGGACTGGAGGGAGGCGGACCCCCGGGTGTTCCTGGTGAAGCAGCGGGGCTAGAGGGAGACTCACCTTGCGGTGCCCTGGGAAGCCCAGTCGATGGGTGGATCCCGCAGGAAGCAAGTGGGCGAGCCTGGGGGACTGGGCCGGGGTGATTGGGCCGAGCCTAGCAGGAGTAGGACCAGGAATGGGCTAGGGACTTGTGATGCGAAGGGGTCTGGAGGTCTAGAAGACTGTCAGGCTGGGAGACAAAATAGAGATTAAATACTGAGCGAAAGGGGATGGGGCCCGGATCTCTGCGGGCGGAGCCTAGTGCTTTGGGGTCTGGTTTGTCGTTAACAACTTTAACGACTGTGGACTTGACTCTAATTTAATTTTTATTAGTGTTTGTCTGTGTATATTAGGGAGTGCGGGTGCCTCCAAAGACCATAAACTTCGAGTGCTCTGGGTGAGACAGGGTTTCTCTGTGTAGCCCTGGGTGTCCGGGAACTCACTCTGTAGACCAGGCTGGCCTAGACTCAGAGATCTACCTGCCTCTGCTTCCCGAGTGCTGGGATTAATTAAAGGCACACCACTTTGCTGGGTTCAAGTGGGACTTTGAGAGTTTGAATGGAGGCTGGGGTCATTGTCTTTTGGTGCTCAGCTGCGGTTAGGGGATTAGGGATCGGGAGGGCCTGAGACACAGGTTTAGATCTCTGCAGCCCAGATCTCTGAGGTGGTGGCATGGGCTTTAGAGAAGTGTCTTGGTTAAGGTCTCTGAGTTCAGGCTGAATTTAGGAAGCAGAAAGGAATTGTTGAGCTGGGTCGGGCTTCACAATCCGGTAAGAAACGAAGACCAGGGTGAGAGTAAGGCCGGTCGGAAGCTTCGAAGGCAGACGAGAGTTAAATCCACTTCGTCTAAGTCAGTGATTACAGGCTGGGGTGCCTAAAGCCCCAGAAATATCTTTGATTTTATTGTCCTTGGAGCGGTGGTTAGGATGTGACAGTTCATTCCCTGTCGTTTCCTACCCTTCCTTGCTTTCACAGGAGACTCCAACCAACGAGTTGAGCGTCCAGGGCACCCCCGAGGGGGACACGGATCCATCAACGCCCCCAGCGCCCCCGACGCCTCCCCACCCCGCCACCCCAGGAGATGGGTTTCCCAACAACGACAGCGGCTTTGGTGAGGGGCGGAGCCCACGGCTTAGGCAGCGGAAGGGCGGGGTTTGGGAAGGGAGGGACAGACCTTATTATGCAGTGGGCGTGTCCTGTAGGGAGCTCGGGGCTGGAAAGGGACCTGGAAGAGTTCCGGAGTCCATCCAGCCTTGAAGGCGGGAGCCGGCAGAGGGTCCTGGGAGGAGCTCAGAAGACAGGGCCACGTAGAGGCGGCCATGAGCCGGGAGGTAGCTGAAGTGGGAGGGGCGAGGCCTTGCTGGAGGGTGGGGCTAAAGTCTGCGAGACTGATGTGTCTCTAAGGTTGGTCCACTCTCTGCTTAGGCGGCAGTTTCGAGTGGGCGGAGGATTTCCCCCTCCTCCCCCCGCCCGGGCCCCCCCTGTGCTTCTCCCGCTTCTCCGTCTCACCTGCGCTGGAGACCCCGGGACCGCCCGCCCGGGCTCCAGACGCCCGGCCCGCAGGTACAGTGCTTCCAACTGGACCCTGGCCCACCCCTCCCCAACCTGCCCTCCCTTGCCTTTTGTCTAGCTCGTAATTTTCCTGCCTCTCTCTCTTCTATCCCCCCACCCAGTCACATTGACACCTCTAAGCTCAAACCAATTGGCTCCCATTCACAACCTTGGACAGTTACATCTCTTAACCTCGGTTTCTTCTTCAGTGATTCCCATATGCACACTCTCCTGCCCACCTTTTCCCTTTCTGGGCTCAGACACCTTGATGGATCTCCATCTCCTCTCTGAAAGCACTTAAAAAGCCGGCAGAGGATATGGCAGACCCCCAGAGACAGGAGTCATTATAGCAGCGGCGAGTTCACAGCGACCTGCCGCATTGTAAGCCACTCAGTCCTCAGTGCGATCCTTAGAGTTGATTCTAGTCCCCTCATTTTACGGAAAGGAGAACTGAGGCACCTAGAAAAGAGGCTTGGGCCGGAATTTCTCTCCTGGCTGCTGGCCCTGAGTGCTGCCCTCTCGTGTTTGGCATCTGCTCCATCCTCGCACTCTTGAAGCCAGCCACTCGGTTCTCCCCCTGCTGGCCACCATGTTGAACGCCCAGGATCGGCCCAGACTTTTTTCAGGGATGTAATGTGGGCCAGTCAGTGTCCCTCTCTGCCTTTGCATCCTTATCCATAGAATGAATTGGTATGATAGAGAATCATGCTCCTGAGTGTTCTGAGGGTTTAAGTGGTTTAATCCCCCTTATGGGCGTGGAGCCTGGAGCTTGTGTAATGCCGTCACTGACCCAGAACTGTGAACAACTTGCATGAAGGCTGGAGGCAGTAGAGCTGAGCTAGTTCAAGGAACAGAAGAATCTGCTCCTGAGGATGTAGAGTCAGAGTGAGGAGAGGGGATAGGACAGACTATTTTTTTAATTTTTATTTCATGTGCATTGGTATTTTGCTTACACGTATGTCTGTGTGATGGCATAGCATTTCCAGAACTGAAATAACAGCCAGTTGTGAGCTGCCATGTGGGTGCTGGGAATTGAACCCGGGTCCTCTGGGAGAGCAGCCAGTGCTCACAACCACTGAACAATCTCTCCAGCCCTGAGATGGGACGGATTATAAATGACTTGGGGAACTGGTGTGGTGCACGCCTTTAATCCCAGCATTTGGGAGGCAGAGGCAGGTGGTTCTGTGAGTTCAAGGCCAGCCTGGTCTACAGAGTGAGTTCTAGACAGTCAGGGCTACACTGCGAAACCCTGTCTCAAAAACCAAAACACATAAAATAATAATAATAATAATAATAATAATAATAATAATAATAATAATAAAATAAAGGTCTTGGGGAAATTTTGCCCAGAGGATGGTAGTGAATGCTGAAGGAGTGTAAGCAGGGGAGGGGCTGAGGCTGAGGGTGGCTAGGGTGTCTGGGGAGAGGCTGGCAAAGAGTCCAGGGAGGAGAGGCTAGTGAGCAAGCTAGGTACAGGGAGAGAGGAATGGGAAGGCAGAGTCAAGAGAAAGAAAGGATTGGGGCAGAATTCCCCCAAGTCACCCCCAAATATTGCTTCCTGACACCTCCATCTCAGGATCCCCAGGAACACAGGGCAAGGTAGGTCCAGGGTGTGGGGACACTAGTTAGACAGTGAGTCAGGGCCAAGGTTGGTAGAATGACCTCACTCTTAGTCACCAGGAATGGAGATGGAGGGCCCAGTGTTAGGAAGCCCCAAATCCTTACCTGCTATCACAGATACTCCCGCCAGGCATGGGCGGGGAAGTTGCTAAGCATGTCTGTCTCCCCAGACCACTGCAGGCACTCCTGTGGGCTCCACCTTTACACCAGCTCCTGAGTGAAGAACTCATCCCTTGTACTTTGAAAAGGAGGAAATAGGCTCTGGTGCCTCCCCTTGGCCAGGTCCCCAGCTGTCAGCACAAACTGTGAAGGAGGGCTGACCCCACTGACCCTGGTGTTCTAGATCCAGAGAATGGGTCAGGCTGTCATGGTGTTTGGGGAGGCTGGAGGATTGTCCTGCGAAACCTTGTTGGTGAAGGTACTGTAGGTCCCATATGCTATGCAGTGGAAGTACAGGCAGACATGAGTTCTTCTGCAGTGACTGGAATGAGATCCATTAACACTCAGAGCCAGAGTGGATGCCTGAGGAAAGCTGAAGAAGCAGATGATGCCTGGGAGGTCCAAGGGTGCCGAGATGATTCACAGTGGTTGTGAAAGGCCTCTAAGAAAGGCCTGAATTACCTGGGGAGAACGTTACAGACCCTGGGGTAGAGTGGTATCTGAAACGTTTGAGGCCAGTGTGGCTGGAGCAGAAGGAAGGATGAGGGCAGAGGATGGGATAGACATGGTGCCACTACTGGGCCTTCAGCTTGACTGAGTTGGAAACCATGAGCCTGCCTTCGCCGATTCTGTCTCTTCTGATTCCCATCCTTTCTCTACTCTCTTTATCCTCAGGCCCTGTGGAGAACTGACTCCCCAAAGACCCAGCCCCTTTGTGCCCCAAGAAGAGGGTTTGCGAGCAGAATCTTGTGTGGACGATGCAGCCATTGCCCCTGACACTGACACAGCCTCTGGGGAGGCACCTGAGGCTGGGCCCTCCTCCTCCTCCTCCACCATGTGCCAAACAGGAGGCCCAGGCCCTCCACCCAGTCCCCCAGATGGGTCCCCTGATCCCCCCGATCCCCTTGGAGCCACATGAGGCAGGAAGCCCCATCGCTGGATAGCCACACTTCTTGGAACTGAACTGAACTCTTTTGGGCCTGGAGCCCCTGGCACAGCAGAGGTCCCTCCTGACCCACTCCTGGCCTCATGAAGGTCACTGGCTTCAGGAACCTGGACCCCATCTTGCGTCTCCCTTCACCCCCAGTCTGGCCCCTGGAGGGGCCTCTGGTTCAAACCTTCGCGTGACATTTTCACATTATTTAAAAAAGACAAAAACCAACTTTTTGGAGGAAACTGGGATCTGTGTGTGTTTGGGGAGTTGGGAGGGGGATTCCAGTAGACACTGAATGGCGGTCATTGTCCTCTCCCCGTAGCCCCAAGGCAAGGCGCCCATGCAGCGGTGGGGCTTGCCTGCCTCTCCCCTGCTCTGGGTCTGTTCCTTATAGCCCCTGACAACTTCAAGTTACCCTTCCATGTTCCACGAGTCAGTGACGGCTTGAGACCAAGCAGTTGTGGTGGTAACCATGGTCCTGCAGGGTCTGGAAGCTGTTCCGGAGGCAGGTGGTGGTGGAAAAGCGCTCAGAACTGGTCTGCTGAAGCTCAGCTGTCATCTGCTAGCCACTGCCTGACCTACCTGCCTGCATGGCTTGTCTCAGTTCACTTACATCCCCTCCTGGAGACACACACAGAGGCTTGCAAATGCTGTACACTGGACAGTTCTTTGTCTCGGCAGGCACACAACTACTGTACACACACACGCACCCCTCTCTCTCTCTGGCATGGACAGTTGTACACACACACACCCTCTGACCCTGGACAGTTGTACACACACACACCCCTCTCTCTCTCTGGCATGGACAGCTGTACACACACACACACACACACACACCCCTCTCTCTCTGGCATGGACAGTTGTACACACACACACACACCTCTCTGGCATGGACAGTTGTTCTCTGCCTGCCTAAGTGTGCTGTGGCCTCTGACTCTGCTCCTGGCTCCTTCCTGTCTCTCTTCTCCACGTGTCTCCCTGTGTTTCTCTGCCTCAGTTACATGCTGGGTTTTATCCCTGTCCCCTCCCTCTTCTCCTGCGGATACCTGTTCCTTAGTTTTTCTCTGGCTAGGCTTTTGATGGCTCTGGACTAGGTTCCCCATCCCCATACTTGGAGAACCAGATTTCCCCCCCCCCCCCCCCCGAGACAGGGTTTCTCTGTAGCTTTGTAGCCTGTCCTGGAACTAGATCTGTAGACCAGGCTGGCCTTGAACTCACAGTGCTGGGACTTGGGGGTGGTGTGCCACCACTGCCTGGCAGGAGAACCAGATTTATTGGTACACGAGGAGAGTGAATTTGCAGGGTGGAAGAAGTCAGAACAAGGGGTGGATTTGAGCAGGATGTGTACTCTGGGTTGTAACCTAAAGTGACAGGACAGGGGTCACACTCTCCCCACCACAGGATCACTGCCTAGCAAATGGTAACTGACATAACCTAGAGGCATGGCAGCCCAAGTTGGGGAGGGAATCATGGTGGTAGGGTGGGCTAGGCCATGAAGTCCTAGTTCAAATAATGAGAGTTATGGCCCTCGGGCCAAGTCTGAGAACGGGCTAAGCCTAGGATTTTTCTTAAATCTATTTGCTGTGTACGTGTATGTGTGTGTGTGTGTGTGTGTGTGTGTGTGTGTGTGTATGTGTGTAGAGAGAAGAGGGAGGGAAGGAGAGGAAGAAAGATTTACTGTCTCTGTGGCCCTGGCTGTTCTGGAACTTACTCTGTAGACCAGGCTGGCTTCCAACCCAGAGATCAGCCTGCTTTTGCCTCTGAGTGCTGAGATTAAAGGCACAAACCACTATGCCTGGTCAAGGCCAGGATTTTTAGGGCTGAGGGAAAACGGCTGTGGGAAGAACTGGTGGGTGAGGGAGAGGGCCAGGACCTTCAAGCCTCAGTGAGTGAAGAGGATCCTGGTGTTGAGAGGCAGCTGATCCAGGCCTGAGAGGCTCAGGTCCTACCTAGGTCCAGGGAGCAGGGCGTGAGTCCTAATTCTCTAGTCTGAGGGAGGAACCTGGGATGAGGATCCCTGCAACTGAGGAAGGCTGGGGCTCACCCTGCAGACTCTCCAGCCATAGAAACTTACCGCTTCAGTTTTGGAGGCTAGAAGACACGGACCAACGACATCAGTATTTAGGAAAATCTCTTCTGTGGTGTTGCCAGCCTGGCCTCAGGTAACCATGGGCACTCCTTGGTTATTTACCCTACTCTGCGTTTATTTCCACATGGTACCCTCTGAAGCCTTCTGTCCAAATACCTACTCTGGTGGTACTTTTTATATGTGTGCGGGTACGCTGGTGGGTATTGGGGGAGGTATGGTCTCATACAACGCAGTCTGGCTTTGAACACCTTGATTCGCTTTGCCTTAACCTGCCTCTGAGGACACCCACCTCCCAAGCTTGGCCTGAAGGACAGTTTAAAGCATTTTGCTGACTTGAATGTTCGACACATTCTTGAGGCTTTGCAGCTTAGTTTGGCCAACATTTCCTTTAGCTCCTGTCAGGCCGCACTGCCAATCATCAGAACCCCCTGGGCCCATGGTGATAGCTTCCCCATACCCTCTCCTGCTCCAGTCACTGGACCGAGGATTATAGACATCTTTTTCCACTCTCTCAGATCATCCTGGCCACTTTAAATTAAACACATTACACTCCTGCTTCACATGGTAGCTTCCTGCAGTCAGGCCTGCATAATCTGTTCTTGCCCCACATAGACACACCAGCACACACCGGTCACCACATTTGCTAGGCAATGCCCCTGTGGTAGGGACCCTACTGCTACTGTTTTCCTGTGCCCCATGTCCTTGTTACCTTAATTTGTGAGAGTACACCATCCAGCTCAAAGCCACCCCTTTCCAAACTCTACCAGTCTGTGCCCACAAATCTGGTCCCAAGGTGTAATTGACAGGGTCACTCACGAATGGGAAACGGACACATATCCCACGCAATGCCTCTCTTCTGCCAGTCATCATTCCCTGGCAAGTCCTGGGTTCAACCCATCGAGGCAGACACCATGGGTGAAAGGGTGGCTAAGAACCTCTGGAATAAGAGTCATTGCTCAGTGCTTTCCTGGCCCTTTGGGTGATGCTGGAAATCCCATTTTATTTGGGACTCTTCATTTCACACCAGCTCCTGGGGAGGAAGTAAGTAGTTCATGCCTCCTTGCCAAGGTCTAGGTAAACTCTGGAAAACCTTCCATACCTAGGAGGCAGGACTACCTTTGTCTACTGACATACAGCCCGAGCCACAGGCACTTATACTATAATCTGGACACTTGTACTTTACTGGACCAGTGCTGTTGGGGTGAACACCCAAAGGTGCCTGTAGCCAAGGGAAGGCAAGACACATAAACCCAACAGAAGTTTGCAGATCCAATACATACCTTCCAGAATCTCAATTCCCAGAAGACTACAGGGTAGCATCTTTCCTTCCCAGTCAGGCTGGCATGGTAAAGCATCCTGGGAAGTGGTGATTCCTCTAGAAATACCACTTCAGGTCTGGCTCGGTAGTTAACAGTCTATAATGCCAGCATTAGGAGGCAGGATTCAGTTTAAGCTCGTCACGGGCCAGGAAAACACAAACAACAAGCTTCTTGGTTCCAAAGGTAGGCAGGAGGAACTGGGCCTTTGTTCTTTGGAGCCACTACTCCAGCAGGAGCAAAGGACATTGGGGGCTCAGCATTCCTATTTCCGCTAAGACTCCTCCCATGTGCCTAGGCCTTCTGACAAAACAACTACCTCTACAGGAGGCTGCCTCTGCCACCTCCAAGGGCATCCCATGCCCCTCATGGTACCACTGTGCCCTCTCCAGTCCACACTGGAGCCCTCAATGGACAGCACAACCAGTTCCTAGTGTTCAGCACAGGGTCTTCCCTGGCCTTCTTCTCTCCCGAGCCAGGCCTTTGCTCTTCTAGTGCTAGTCTCCCAATGATCACAGGCCTGGCCCATGGGGCAGAGCACATATCCAGAGTATGCTATACCTGAATACCATCCCTAGACACTAAATCCTTTCTTCACTCAGCACCTGAAGGGGAAGGGGCAGAGGGACTTGTCTGGGAAGCACCTGCCCTCCACCCTGTATCCTCTAGGGTCCTGGCTAATAGTAAGGAGATGGGTTTTCAGTTCTCCCAAACCCAAGAAATGAGGGCATCGGCAGGCGCAAGGGGTTAAATAATTAATAAGATTACCAACATGTTAATTACAAATAAGGAGACAGGAGCTAGAGGCGGTGATTTTCCAAATGGGGAACCAGGATCCACAGCCCCAGGGCCCAGGGGTCCTGCCACCCAGGCGGGGCAGCTCCAAAATAAATAATGGAGTTGGGGACAGGGGTCAGGGTTGTTCCTGCTTCTTTTTCACAGAAATCCGCTTCTTTCTTGCTGCCAGCATCTCATAGAAGGGGTCCACGCTTACAGCAGCCCTGCAAAAAGGGGTCTGATGAGGACCAAGGGCCTGATCCCAGGCCCAGCCCTCCCCGCTCAGATCGCTGTCCCATGAGGCTCACTGGATGGACTTGATCCACTCGTCCTTTTCCTCCTGTGTGGGTGCGGAGATTCGGTATACCATGTGGTTTCCCTCCACCACCCGACCATCAGCCTCAGTTTTGCAGGCTTTGATGAGCTGGCCCTTATTGTTGGGGATGTAAAGCTCAAAGCAGTTCTAGGATACAGAGGAGGGGACAGGTCAGAAAAACCCTGGGCCAGGACAGGGAGGTGTAGGTTTAAGGGCACCTCATGAATCTTACCGGCTTCCGAGGATCATCCACCTCCCGGATGCTCAGGTTCTCTAGGGGGATAATTCCTCGGGGCTCCTTGTCCTAGGTGGCAAAGTCAGAGTTCAGGTTCCATGGGTCCCCCACTGCCTCCCTCAGAGTGAGGGCTGAGTGCCCTGCCCCCCCAGAAACTTGGCTCATCTGCAAGCTCCACCCTCACCGTAGTGTACTCAAAGTAGTAGAGGCAGTTGTCTGTAAGGATGAACCAGCGCCGCTTCCAAGTCTTCACCCGGCCCCCTGCAAGGGAAGGGGTGGGAGGGGCCGGGCTCAGCGGGGAACCGCTGGGGGTGGGGCAGAGTGGGGGAAAGGTAGGGCTCTTAGGTCTAGGACAGAGGCAGTGAGGGAAAAGACAGGCAGGCAAGGACAGGCTGGTAGGGCCCCAGGAGTGGCACCCCTGCTTGGGCCACAGGTTCTGGCTATTCTATTGGCAAAGATCCAAGCCCCTCCCCCGGATCAAGGCCAGGGTAGTCCCTCCCTCTCTGTTTGGGGGCGGGCAAGGACACCAGGTACCTACCTCCTGGGGCAGACAGCAAGAAAGCAGGCAGGACCAGGTGTGGAAGGGAAGGCGGAGGGATGGGGTGCCCCCAAGAATCGCAGCGACAGAAATAGGGGGTCAGGGAAGGGATGCACAGGGGCCAGAGCCACAGCAAGAGAACAGGCAGAGGGGAGGGGGAGAGAGGAAGAAAACCAGTTACATCCACATGGGGAGGAGCCAAAGCTTCCCCTTGCCCGCCATGCTCCTGACTTGGCTTCAACCTTTCCCAGCCTGCTAGAATGGTCCTAGAAAACACATTCCCTGAGACTCTCTACCCTGACCAAAGGGTTGGGGTGGTCTGAGGAAATCCCTGGCCCTTTCTGATTCCAGCCTGGAGACCCACCCACTCACATCTTGTCTGCAACGAGATGGCCTACTGTGGCCTCTGGATAAACAGTGCTTCTGTCAGCCATGATGATCAGTTAAGTGGCAGGGGCACCTTTGCACCTCAGTTTCTTCACATGAAAAATGGGAGGGTACTACTGGCAGAGCTCAGAGCCCCATCTTGAGGGAAGCTGCCTTCTTGCTCATTCCCTCTAAGGCTCAGGGAGACCACAGTACGCTGAAGAAGCTGATCATCAGTGACCCTACTGACCTCCCTGCAACCAACAAAGCGGCCAGGGTCAGAGTGATGCCAGGGTGTGCACTGGCTGTGAAGATGCAATAATGCCTTGCTCCAACTGCCCAATTCAACGCAGGACTTCAGACCTGGATGGTGCCAACTCACTGCTCGCCAGAGCCCAAGGAAAGTGAGGCCTGACTCTAATCGCGGTCTCACTCTGCAGGGAGTGCCTAACTGTCCCACTATGGCCCTCACACTGTCTCTGAGCAGTGACCATGCAAGCCTTTCCTCTGTCCCTCCAGTTCAGGCCCAAGAGACAGCTAGCTGTGCTCTAAGTATCTGGGGAGCTGTAATGGTAACTAATGGCTGACCTGTACCCAGATCCTGCCTGCATAAGCCTAGGGTCCTCAGGGTTCACACAGTACCCACTGAGTGTTGAGAACAACTCTCAGGCCACAACAGCCACCCTCTCTGGCCTTGGCTGGCTGAGCAGCTGGTTTAAGGCATGGTGCCACGGGACACATTTCTACAAGGACTGTAGCACTGCTCCCTCCCCAGTTGGGCAGAGGCCCCAAGTCACCCTGTCTATGCTGGCTCTCCTAGGGACGACTGGTGCTCAGCTGGCTGACAATGAGCCCAGGTCTAGGGCAGACAATCTGCTCAACATGTGACCTGTCCTGAGGGCTAAAGCCTGGTCCATCAAGCTCTGGCATATGAGCACGTGGGGCCAGGAGCACTTTATACAGGCTGGGCAAATACACAGCCTGCTCTTGTTCTCAGCCCTATTTACAGGTGTGGAAATTTGATGCTCCCAGAGGTGCAGAAACCGAGGGTGCTTAGCCCTGAACCAGGCCACCAGGGTTCCTTGCAGGGTTGCCAGCAGGCTCAGGGAGGGACGTACCCAGCTTTAGGAGCCAGCCCTCACGGTCTGGGTTGAAGAAGGTATGCGTGAGATCATTCCCATCATCCTCAGGGATCTTGAAGGGTTCATTTCGGATGCTGTCGTAGAGGTTCTGAGGGGCAAAGAACAGGTTAGAAACTCCAGGCACCGAGACTTCCCAAGGGACAGAGAAATCATCAATGGGAGAAAAGCATTAAAGTGGACGGAAAGGGAAACAGCAGAGATGGGAAGAGTGAAGAAAAAAGATGAAGGGATAATGGTGGGAAAGTCTGTTGTGTTCTCAGAGATGACAGAAGACAGAAAATAACCAAGGGCCAGACCAGAAAACTGGGAGCAGAAGAGACACATGTGAGGGTCATGGCCACACCGCTGTGAGCAGCCAGAGCAGCTCAGGCACCAGCAGACCCTGGAGCATAGGGTGGTGAGGCTGGGAACAGTACTGACCCTGAGCAGGTCCTCAGGCAGATCTCCACCCTCATTGATGCCCCGGTTCATGGCCACAAAGCGCTCCAGGCCTGGCTTGTCCCTCACATTGGGATTGTGAAGGCTGGTGTTCAGCATGATCACAGCAAAGGACAACACATAGCAGGTGTCTGCAAAAATAGAGTAAGGTAGCTGGTGATGACCCAGGACCTTCCCAAAACCTTTGTCCCCTCCCCTCGAAGTCTGGGAATCTAGATCCCAGCCTCTTCCTTCAAACCCAGTCCAGATTCCAGCACTCCTTCCTCAGACTACAGGTCTATGCCCTGCCCTCTGGTCCTACCTGTAGACTGGAAGACCCCAGGGTTACACAGGCAGTATCGCTGGGCAAAGGCCTCCATCATCCGGTCAATTTTCTGAGCCTCTCCAGGGAGGCGAAAGCTCCATAGGAATTGCCTGGTTAGGGGAGGGCAGGGCAGGCACAGGTTTCAGGGCTGGAAAACACTCTACTTCTTAGTCCCTGTTAGAAGTGGACAGATCATTATCCAAACCCTGCCCAGTGTGGTGATGCACACCTTTAATCCCAGCACCCAGGAGGGTGAGGCAGATGGATCTCTGTGAATTCAGGGCCAGCCTGGTCTACATAGAGTTCTAGGTTAATCAGGGCCACACAGTGAAATGCTGTTTCAACTCCAACCCCAAAACAATTAGTCGGAACGAACTCTCTCACCCCAGCTGTTTGAGTTTGTAGGCATGTAATCTGATTAGAGCAGCAGGTTCTGGCCATGGACTCTGGAGGATCTACAGAGGATAGTCTTTTCTCCACCACAAAGTTTGCTAACTTTGGACTGTGCTTTTGGGGCCTGGTAGGAGGCACCATTGAGCACACCGAGAAAAAGGTGTGCTGAAGGAGGCCCCACCTGGACTTGTCTTATTAGAGACAATCATTTCCGGAGTGTTGCTTGTCTCTGTTGGAGTGGTTTGTCCCTCACAACTGAGAAAGCCCTGGCAGGTGCATCTCTGCCCAATTCTCACCGCAGAGCCTGCACCAGATTGAGGTCGGTGAACTCGTGCAAATCCACAAAAGCATGGAGCACGGACAGGTTTAGCTCTTCCCTGGAAAGAGAGAGAGTCCTATCAGGAGGCATGACAGGAGCTATAGTAGTATATCTCATTACTGTGCTGCCCTCACGGCAGCTGGACCTCTCACTTGGCTCCATCCATATGCTGGGTCCTGAGTAGGACACCTTGTTGTTGCAGCTTTTCAATCCTAGAGCAGACAGACTACCCGATGGCATCTCTTTTCTCCTGTTCCCCAGATGCTTTTATCTCAAGAATGGACCTTTACCTAAGAGTTCACAGACCATTCCTAGTTCCTATGCACTCACATGTCCACAGGTCGTCCCTATACACAGGTCGTCATATACCTGCAGCTCTGACCCATGATCAAAACTTCAGATGCTAGCTTGTGTGCACGTGGTAAAGTGACTGACACTCAGCCATCAACAGTGCTCCCAGATACAAGCAGAGCCCTCACTCACGGGATGACCACAGGTACCCCTCCTATAGTCTCCAGCTCCCCCACTGCATCATGACTCAGGTGGAAGCCCCAAGCCTGCTCCCTACATGAGCCACTAACGAGGCTGGGATACTGCACAGGTGGGAGCTTACCTTTCCCCCAGGTAATCCCCGATAGCCGTCTTGTTCAGCCCCTCGCCCTTGTACAGGAAGCGGGCAATTTCCTCGGGTGTGTTCTGCAGAAGTTCGTGCTCCACCAAGAATTGGATCCCCTGGAGGGAGAGGACCAGATTTGTGCCGAGGCAGAGGGTGCTGCTCCCCATGAACTTCAACACCCAAGCCTCTCCACCATAACAGAGTATGTCAGCTTTAGGCTCAGTTTCTTACAGCTCCCCACGAATCATCCCTAATCCATGACCTCAGCCTCTGCTTAACTGATTCCAGCATGTACAAATGGGTCTGGCAAGGAACAGGTCTGAAGAATAATTGAATACGTGACATACTACAATGAAAAATGAGCGCAGATACCTGTTCATCAAGCTGTAAACGTGCAACCCCTCCCTTAGTGCCATATCTCACCCTGAACTGTACACTTGGAGCTAGGGGGAATCCCCGAGAGTATGACAGGGTCTTAGGATTCCCAGCGTAGCCAGGCTCCTAGGGGCCTCAGTACACGGACATTCATGGAACAGATGGGCAGAGATCAGGACTCTGTTGCCTAGAGGAAACCTATTATCTTAACACTTCTAGAACCTAGGATGTCAAATCCATGCCTAAATTTCTGCTCAGCTAACCTTCTTGGGGTCCATGTTGAATTTCTTCCTGCCCATTGCCATCTTCCGGTTCCGCTGCAAGGTCTTACTGCAAAAGCAGGGTGGGCAGCAGCCAAGGTCAATGCCTGAGCACCCAGGGCCCTGGCCAAGCCTTGTGCGCCATGAGCTCCCCACAGCCCTCACCTGCCCTCGTTGGCCTCCAGACCCTCCACCTCGCTCATGGCTTCGCTCAGCTCCTCTCGCAGGCGCTGGATCTCCACCAGCAGCTCCTGCTTGCGCCGGCGGATGTTCTCTAGCTCCATGCGCTCCTCTGGAGTCAAGTCTGGGGGCTCTAGGGGTCAGGATCAGGGAATGAGTTCTGGGGGCCAGGACTGCTGCATCCTGAGAAAGGATGAAGGGTCTGGATTCCTGTACTCAAGAGGAATGGCTACTAGAAACCTTAGGGGAGAAGTAAGATACTGAAGCTTTAGTCTGGGGCAGAAGTGCCTGGAAACCTCATCTCTTAATAGGTCTGGGGGATGAATTTCTGGGCCCAGTACTTGGAAGGATGGAGTCCTGGCTTCATCACGGAAGTGGGGACCTGGGTTCCTGGACCCATCACCGCAGTTGGGAACTTGTGGGTCTGAATTTTGGATGCCCTGGCTCCTTGGTTCCATTATGGTAGAACGGGAGGCTTGGATACTGAAAACATTACTTGGAAGGACACAGGGCCTTGGGCTCACAGCTCCATCATCTCAGGGGATCTGGGGCCCTGGATCCTGGGTGTATTTCTCAAAAGGGAGCAGGTCCCACCATCATGGCTGAGGTCCTGGGGTCCTGGACCCTGGATGCATTTCTTGGAAAAACACCAAGACTCTGGTTCCTGGCTCCACCACGGTGGAGACCCTGGCATGGACCCTGGGTACATTTCTTGTAAGGGGGCCGGATCCCTGGCTCCATCATAGTGGGAGCTGGGGTCCTGGATCCTGGGTGCCTTTCTTGAAAAGGAACCAAGGCTCTGGCTCCTGGTTCCGTGGTCTGAATCTTGGGTGCACAGGGAAGACAAACTAAGGCAGCAAGTCCCTGGGTCCGGGACAGCAAGAAGGTTGTGAAGAACCTCAGCAAG